AACTTGGGAACCATTGTAGAATACTGATCATCTGATTTCCTCTTTGTTATACGCTATCTTTAGCATTTCTGCCTTCAGGGAAACTTCACTAATCATGTAAGACCAAAAACGTGCCTCTTCTGCAAGCTATGAACTTTCTCTTCCCACTGCCTAGAATGCTCAGACCACAGATCTTCTTGGTATTATTCAGACCACAGCTGGCTCTTCGTATTACTCAGGGCTGGTTCAAATGTCAGCTTCCCAGAGAGACTTTCTTTGATTATACAATCCATGGTTGCCTTTCCATTTGTCTTTATCACATTACTGTTTTACTATGATCATCTCGCAAATCAGCATCTGAAATTGTTTCTTTACGTTACTCATAAGTAAACACATTAAGAGTCAGTCAGTTTCAGATAGTGAAGTTACTACATCCACCCACACCAGGGTGTAAACTGCAAGAGAAAAGGGGTTCAGCCTCTGTTCGCTGCTAAATCCTCAATACTTAAAAAGTTTCTAGCACAGAGGTGCTGAACACATGCCTTCTGAATAAGTGAATGAATGGACTAATACGGCCTATTCTTTACCTATCTTTTTAAGATCTTTGAAAGCAGGAACCATAACTGCCTACTCAACACTGCAATCCCAGTGCCCAGCACAATATCCAGCAAACAGAGTTGTAAAATAACTTAGTGGGCTATCCAGGTGAAGGCAGAGACACAGGGAGAGCACCATGGAGGCAGAGACTGCAGTGATGCAGCTATATGGTGGGGAACTCAGCTGACACCTTCACTCCAGACTTCTAGCCTCCAGAACTGAAGGAGAACAAATTTCTGTGTTGAGTCATCCAGCTTGTGATATTTTGTTATCCCAGGTCTACTATGCCTATACCACCCTGAACAAGCCCGAACTTGTCTGATCTCAGAAACTTTGTTATCCCAGCTATAGGAAATAAATTCACCAAGACTCCTCTGGTGTGATTTGACTTTCATTGCACTCAAGTCCAAGTACACTAATGGCCCAGGGATGGGCCATATAACTGTGTGTCCTCAACTAGGAGTGGACTCATGTCATAGACAGCCATTAGGTAGGAACTTGCAGTAACCAAGGAAGAAAAGTATTGATTTGGTCACTTTTACAACAAGTGTCATAAAAACAAACAAAACAAAAAATAATATACTAGACTGTGAATGGAATTGAGAAAGGAAGGGAGGGAGGGGGTATATATATGTGGGTATGTATATACTGCACATGTACATATAAAAATGTACTTTTTTTACTATAGGTTATAATCCAACATTTTGAAAACATACTAAATTCCAAAGAGCAAGTTACAAATCAATCAGCTACTCTGTCATTTACTGAAATGGTGCTTGACTTTTATTTCTTAATTTTAATCTCCCAGTAGGAAAAGTAGTTCAAGATAGCAGATGAAAAAAGTTTACCTATCATTCCCTTTGGTTACCTAACAATTTTCGTATGGATTTTTCCTAACCTAACAACATTAAATTCTTTGAAAACAGGACTGCTGGGCCGGGGATTTAGCTCAGTGATTCCACAGCCTGCCTTGCAAGTTCGATCCTGGTACCAAAAAGAAAACAGAAAACAGAACTGCTTCCTCCCCCTATTATTTTCCTCACAGTGATTAGCAAGATATCAGCACACAAGCCAGGTGTGATGGCACACATCTATAATTCCGGCACGCAGGAGGATGAGGGAGGAAGATCATTACATGTTGAGGCCAGCCTAGGCTGCATAGTGAATTCAAGGCCAGCTTGAAATTCATAACAAGATTTGTCTCAAAAAGAAAAAACAGGGCCAGGGATTTAGCTCAGTGGTTCCGGTGCCTGCCTTCCAAGTGCAAGGTCCCAAGTTTGATCCCTGGTACCAAAAAAAGAAAAAAGATATTAGCACACTGAGTAACTCAGTAAAGAAGTTGCCCTCCTGAATAATTTCATCAAAATTAAGACAAAACATATGCACATTAAAAAACAAAAAATAAAGAAATCTAAGTACATTTCAAATATTAACACGTTTACCTGAATGCCACAATGGCACAGTCTTATAGAATATGAGCCATCTGGGCCGGGGATTTAGCCCAGTGGTTCCGCTGCCTGCCTTGCAAGGGCAAGGTCCTGAGTTCGATCCCCGGTGCCAAAAAAAAAAAATATATATATATATATAGGCCCTCTGGACCAAATTATGTTCTGTGAAAGAAGGAGAAATAAAATAAGCCCTAACTTTTAGAGCTTGTTGTACACAGTACATCTTAAACTAGTTTTTCAAAGGAGACCCAAAAAGTTAAAAATCCTACACAGACATGTTACCAACTCTAGTAATCTAAATCCATAAATTTTTAACTTATCTTTGTTACTGACTCACAAGACCAATCTCATGACTCTCTTTCAAAAGGTTTAAAAACTAGATGTTCAGCTCTCACTGGAATAGACTAAAATAAGTGCACTACATAATTTGGTGGCTGGTCTTATAAACTAAAATATGGGACTAGGGGAATTCAGAAAATGATGCTACCTAGGTACAAAAACCAGGAGGAAAGAACAGCCTTATCCACCTCTCCATCTCTTGACTGTAGTTAAACCAAGCTGGACACAACCACATCACTACCTGTCTACCAACAGCAAATATCATATCCCAGATTTTGACATTATTCTCATTCAATATTTGACCTTCCTGTTCATGGCAGGTCCGGTGCTAAATGTGAGCAGTACCCATCTTTGAAATGTGAGCAGTCTAAGTGAACAAAACAGAAACGCCAAGTCAGTCAACCAGTATTTACTAAAAGCCTACAATACTGAAACAACTTTACTGTTTTAGCAAAATGGATTCAACTCAAAATTTGTTCCTGTTTCATATGGGTCTCTGTTGTAAGTATGTGTTGTTCTTGTTTTTCTAACTTATTCCCAAGGCAAGGACATATCTCCTCTTATAAAGTGCTAGCAAAGGGCTGGGCACAAAAGGACACAACAAACCTAATGGCAAATAACGTTGAGAAAGAATACAAATTCCTGGCTCTTTCCAGTCCTGTCATCTTTCTTTGATTCAAGATCTCTTCCTCTCCTCTGAGATTACTCCTGGCACATGGGTCAACACAATTTCTTCCAAAGGGCAAACTCCTGGGTGCTGCCTGTATCTGGGATTTTTCACTTCATTCCCCCATCTTCACCCCACAAAAAAGACACCAGGAAAATGACAGATGTCCTTGTACCATACAAAGCCCTTTCTTTCCTTGCTTCCTCTTGTGCCTAGCAGAGGCCACCAAGCCCAGGGCTTTCAAATAAAACTCTGCTGTCCACGATGGGTTCGAACCCTGGCCTTACCATCAACTCAGTGGGGAACTTTAAATCAGTCAGTCCAACCTCCCCCTGGGCTTCAGTTTCCGCATCTGTCCACAGGCACTATTTCCACACAGGGCAGGTATGACTCTTTTGAAAGGCGGCAAGAGGACAAAGTCATGCAGCCTGAGGCCAGAGTGGGACAGAGGGAGGCAGACGCTAGACAAGCCGAGCTGGCTGACAGGGCGGGAAGCCACGGCGGGAAAGGCGGGAAGCGGCGGAGGCCGGCGGGCGCGAGTAGTAACAGCTCTGGCAGCGTCAGCCAATGTCCTTTTTCCTCCTCACCTACCCTGCACCCCTTCTGCGACCCTCACCTCGCTTGATCACATGCATCGCAGCTAATGACTGGTGGCGCTGAAGAGTTCGAGATCAGGCTGCAGCTCCGAAGCACCGGCGGAATCGAGGCGGCAGCAGAGGGTGTAGGGCTGGACTCCAAGGGACTGCTCCGGTGCAGAGAATGGAACTGGGAGGGCAGACAGCACTTCCCTCTCCCGAGCAGAGGCGCGGCGATCCGAACTTGTTCCCGCTCCCGCCACCCGTGACGCACAAAACGGCGCGACTAGAGCTCGAATGGCGTTGCTGGACGCTACAAACGCCCGGGGTCGTGTGGGCAAAAACCTACTAGCAGAAGTCAGGCTTCTGTGCCGCCATGTTGTGTATGGGCAAGGCCAAGAGACTACGGATTTACCACGGCCCCACTGGATGAGGGCGCACCCGGCAGGACCGCTGTTCTACCGCCGCCATGTTGGGTGTGGGCAAAGCGGAATCAGAGGCCCCGGGACACTAAGGGAGGCCAAGGAGTCCTCCAGACCCGGCCCCACCCCACCCCCACTCGCGAGCGCCCCCTAGACCCATACAGTGTAAATGTTTTTGAAATCACAACAAAAACCCAGCCACCCTGAGCAGTTTTTCATGTTTGACTGTTTTGATAACCCCGAGAATGTAGTCAAATATGGGCTGTACTCTAAGAGCCGCGGCCAGGGGCAGGTGGCAGCCCCAGGGCTCTTAGGTCGGCCAGAAGCCTGGCACTCAGTTAGAAGAAGGCCACGCTAGGTCAGTAGCATTTGAAGTTTATCCTGATGGAAATAGGAGCCCTGTGAGATTTTTAAGCAGGGCCACGACCCATTTGCTTTTAGAGTTCATGGACAGTAGCAGAGTCAGGGTCAGCAATAAGAGAGATGTTGCCTTGTGAGAGTGAGATGGAGTTGGTGACTGGCCATGGATGGTAAGAAGCTGTAAGAGTCCTAATATACAAGGTTGACACAAACTGATCTTTGTGAAATCTTATCTGTGGCAGCCTTTCTCTAAATCCTGTCACAGTTTTTCACTGGTTCCTGCCTTCCAGATGCCGCCAAGCTCCCTGTGAAGTAACTGCAAGTTATTGGTCACAGATGACTACACCATCAAGATATCCCCAAAACAGGGCTATCAGATTTAGGAAATAAAACTGTGTCCCAAACATTGCATAAGACATAATTAATGTAAAAAGTTATTGTTTACATGAAATTCCAACTTAACTACCCATCCTGCATTTTATTAGGTAACTACCAGGATAACTTCTGGGTATGTGCATTAAACGTTTTGTTTTCCCTTGGAAGACGTAGAATAGTCTTCTTCTTCCTGTCTGTTAAACCACAGAGAACACAATGAAAGTCAAAGCCAGCAAAATTAAAATCTCCTACATGCTTTATTGGACTTCAAAGAGTCTTATGAAATAACACAGAAAACCCCATGTGAGGGTGTCCAGAGGGTACAAGGCAGTCTGCAGCCTAGCACCCTCCTAAGACCAACCCCTGGCCCAAGATAGGATCCCAGGGTAAAGGCATGGCAGAATGGAGCACTGGGAAAATACCTTTACAGCCATAGCAAAAACAGGTGAGAGAGAGAGTTGTGTAGAGGATGGGCGGGGGGGGGGGGGGGGGGAGTGGTCACACAGCAGACTTCTCATATACCATCTTCCTTCACCACCCCCTTCCCCAAAACGATTCTGTCCTTTTTTAAGCCTTTGGCCCAGGCAATGCAGTAATATGAAAATGGAGTCCAACGCGGGAAATATGCTGTGCAGGCACTTGGGAAATTCAGGAGATTTCTTTTTTCACTTTTAAACTGCTTTGTCTTTTGGTTCAAATAAAACAACATTCTTACCCAACGACTCCAGGACTCCACAAGAGCCCTATATCACAACTACAGCTCCCTTAGCCAGGGGAGCCGACTGTCCTGAGCCCTAGGAGTACTGATACTTGGGAGCTTTGGGGCAGCACCTCTAAGAGACAGATACTCCTGCAGTATGGGGGAGCAAGGGTAAGAAGGAGGCAGATGTGGGCAGGACAAGAGAGAAAAGGGGACTGCCTTATAGCCTATGGCTCTGGCATCCACTCAATGTCCAACTAAGAGAGGTCTCTCCTGATCCATCCCAAGCGTGGCCTCTCTTCAGAACTCTGGTGGCTTGCTCTCTGGGAATTGGTTTCACTGTCTCGTGGGACTACGGAGGCCTGAGTGAGCTCTAGGATGAGGTTCTTTCCACCCCATCACACTCCCAAAGAACAAACCCCAAAGATTAGGCCTGTGGCCCCAGTCTGGGGCAAACAGAACCACTGTGGGTGGAGTGAAGAGAACCTGAGGCACAAGTGTCAGAAGTTATTCCTCCTATCTTCCCACAACTGCTAGGGGAAGCTGGAGAGTGTAGGAGGGAAGAGCCTGAAACCAGGAGACAGAGAGAAACAGAAAACCAAACTTCGAAACTGGGACAGCAGAGACAGAAGCTGGACCTCAGAGGTGGAGCTGGGAGCTGAGGGAACAGCAACTAGGACATGCACTGAAGTGGAGGCGGAGTGACAGCGGCAGCCCATGGTTGGGAGGAAAGCAGGGCAGGCAGGCCATGGTGATCAGTTAATAAATTAACAATGAAGGACCCAAGGATGAGGGGGGCAGGTATGTACAGTGCCCAGACCCTGGGCTAGCCCCTACATTCCCCCCTCTAGGGGCCAGATACCTTAAAGGTGGTAAGGGAAGGGGAGGCAAAAGACCCAAGGAAGGACAAGTTGTCTCACCACTGCCACTCCTGTTCTGCCTATTTCTTAAGAGGCTTTTTAAAGATTTTGAGGGGAAATTTCTTCCTGCCTGGGCTAGAGTCTGTCTCCTCACCAACAGAACCATTATCATCCTCAGCCATGACCTTCTTGCCAGCCAAGTGAGGAATGCGTGTGTTTCGGCTGGCCTGCAGGGCTCGGCTGTCCCCAACTGGAGATGGTGTGTCTGGGTCTGGGGGACTGGGGCTATGAGAACGGGAAGAATCCAAAGTTGGGGAGCCACCAGGTGGGGCTGAAGGGCTCAGCTCCACCAGGCTGTGGGCCTTGTCCAGCCCATGGTTCAGCGCCAGTAATGCCTTCTTGGCCAGGGCAGGGCTGTCAGGCAGTTTCTCCACCAGAGATCCTGGGTGGACCCCCTCAATCAGCCGGTGGCTGCCATTGGAAGGCATGGCATTGAGAGCCTCATCTGCAGCTCGGCCCATCTGAGGAGGCTTGGGGGCCATACGCTGACGGTCACTCGTATGGAGGGAAGAGTCCGAATCGGAATGGGTCAAATCCCTGCAAGACATAGGACAGAGAGGAAGAAAAGGACATATACAGGATAGGGAGATGGAAAAAGGTAAAGAGGAGAAAGGGACATAAGACAGTGAGAAAGGGTAAGAAAATGAGGACAGAGAGAGGCAGGAGAGAAATAGAATGAATAAGCAGGTGAGAAGGAGAAGAATGAGTAAGGAAGTTGAAAAGCCATCAGTACAGCATAAGAGAGGAGGCAGGAATAGGGAATGGGGAAAAATTGGAGAAGAGATGGGGAGTGGAGAGTAGAATTGTAGAAGAAAAACAAAAAGAGAAGAAGGACCAGGGAGAAAAGGAAAAGTGATGGAAATAGAAGAAATGGGCAAAAAGAAACAAAAACAAATGTCATTATACTATCATCTGTCAGGCAAAGGGCTCTGCAATGCCTGGACCCCATTCCTGCTGAACACAATGGCCTTAAATTGGTACAATCATAGGCTTAAATTCTATAGGCATCCTCCTCAATTAAAATTTCTGCCTTCCCATAGCTGGCCAGATTTCTTAGGACTCAATCCTAAGCTGACATAGAATTTATATGCTGCTTTGAGTCACCATTTTCCACATCTTCCTCCCCCACTTACTCCTGTCTCACCCTACGATACTTCTGGACTTGGCCAGGCCCCAAGGAACAGGGCACATGCAGTTGGTGGGCCTGACCCAGGCTGGGAGAAGGTTAGAACAGCCTTGCAAACAATCCCTCACCCACTCCCAGAAGGCCAAGATGCTGCCTCTTTCTACCCTCCTAAAGACTTAAAGACAGTCATAATAGAGAAGTGTTGCAGAGTTCAGACTGAAGTCTACCATGGCAGCAGAAAGGGTGGGATCTATTTCAGAACTCTGCTGACAGGGAGAATGTAGGGAGCCACAGAAAGACAAGCTATTTGCCTTTAAAGGAGGAGTCAGAAAACCTCTGGACTCTTCTATGTGATCTTGGACAAGTCACCTAATCTTGCTGGTCCTCAGTTTTGGCCCAATGAAGATAGTAACAGCTCAATTATCTGACAAGACTATATGGAGAATCAAAAATGTTGGCAAAGCAATCAGAAGTGTATAAAGTATGGTAATGATGACAAGGCCGGCCAAGCTAGGAGGCCCATGTGGGGGCCAGTCACAATAGGCTTTCTTTGCAAGGCTGAGTTATGGGGACATGCCACTGCACACCAGACATGCACACACGGAGGCTAGTCCAGGAATTTAAGACCCTTTCAGGGACTGGCTGTTCCTAAGACCTTGAACTAATTCCGATGCCACTGTTCTTGCCTCCACAGACAAACTGATACAGATATGATCCTCTACCAATCCTGAACCCTTCTTCTGCTTTCCCAAAGGCTTGAGAACCCACTGCACAGGAAAAGGAGATAGCTAAAGGAAATGTGTAAATATCTGAGATAGGAATCAAAAGAAACTCTCTCATGAGTGGCAGAGGAGAACATCACAGGACCCAGAAAGAAGGAGACCAAGGTCAGAAGTTATGGAGAGTACCATCCCCTTACAAAAGTATAGGCAGTTTAGCTCATAACTATCATAGGGTTGATTTTCAGAGAATAACTCACTAAGCAGCTACCTCATGAGCCAGTACCTTCCTGGGAAGCAAAAAACAATTCCAGCTTCCATGCTACAAAAACTGTTTCAGCCACAGAATCTAGTGTTTACAAATATTCAGTCTCACAGTTGGTTTCATATGTCTGACACTGGTCCTAACTTCTATTTAAATCTGTCCTTGTTTCTCTAAGCTCCATAATGACTCTTCATATCCTTTCTTCTCTATGTACATACAAACTACTGAGCAAGGTACCAAGGAAGTCCTGGGGAGCAAGCACACTGAGAAAAAGAGCCCTCTAAGCTGAGAAGGTAAGGATCCTAGGAGCCTACCTTTCTAACACCAAGGAAAAGAGGTCAAAAGGTTGGGGCCCTCCCAGCCTCACTTCTCCTGACCCACAGTCCCATTTGGTCTTCATTTCCATCTTTCTATGACTCTGTCATCAACCAACAACTGAGAATGCTAAAGAAAGGTAAGAATCTGGGAGGATATCTGGGTGGATTAAAGAAGAGAAAGGCCCACTGAGGCAGGCCCACCTCCCCTCCCAGAATCTCTGAAGCCCTACAAGCCAGAAGTGTCCCTCCCCAAAGGCTAGGCTGCCTTGGATTCCCATCCCAAGTTACTAACCTTACTAGAGAGCCTGTTTGCCTTTAGAGATGATCCTCTGGTGCGTGGGGCAAAAGAAAATTAAGTAGTGAACAGGCCAGGTGGATGCAGGTAGCTCCCCACCCTGCCTCCCCACTGCCCTCAGCTTAGGCCTTGAAGCACGAAATTCACATCATCCCTAGTTCCCCAATCCAATTCAGTCCTCTCCATCTGTACTGGGAGGAGGAGTTTCCCTAGGCATCCAGATGAAAATGAGGATGAGTGAAGATATGCAGCTCTGCTGAGTAACAATCCTAGCAAGGGCAGTCCCTTTGTGGAAGAGAAAGGAATGGCCCTCCAGGATAATTATTCAGAGGTTCAAGGGGCACAGCTAGAGAGATGAGCACCCAAAGTAAGGCAGGACCAAAGGAAAACTACAGGGTAAGTGTGCTGCAGCCCAGCAGCCAGGACTGGGTTATGGTCACAACTAAAAAGCTAAAAGGCAATTCTAGACTAGAGAGAGAGACTTTTTAAGAGTCTTCTAAATTTGTTCGAGGCAAGGTCAAGCTTTGACCTTAGCCTGTCATCTTGAGGTATTAGCAGGGAAAATCCCTACAGCTGCTAGACCAGGCTGGGGAATAAAGCCTTTCACTAATTGTTTTCCAATTCACTTATTGAGACCTTGTGGAAGGACAAAAAACATTCACCAGAGTGTCCTGAATGGAAAGCCAAGTTCTGGTCAGCATTCTGCTCCTAAGTAGCTGTGGGTCTTGGGGGAAATTACTTAACCTTTTAAAACCTTATCTTCCTACCTTCAAAATGAGTATTTTAATACATGCTCAACTTTTCTTATGCCAAATTCCCAAACTTATGTTCTCTCTTCTGTACTCTAATTCCATGAATGATACTATGCCCATTTAGTTACTCAAGCTAAAAACCAAGGTGTCATGCTAGATTCTTCTCTTTATTAAACATATCTTCGACCACCTAAGACCTCATCACTGCGTCTAGTGGTCTACTACAATGACTTCCAAATTCCTGGAGTCTTTGCTATCCTTACTGCATATAGGCCATTATAATGTTATTTCTAAAGTCCAAATCTGACCACTTCACTCTCTTTTAGAAACCTTTTTGCAATTCCCCACCTCCTAAAGGATAAAGGCCAGAGCTCTTAGCCTTTCCAAACCTTCCATCATTCTAGCCTCATATACTTCTTTCTAACAACAAATAACCAGTATTTTAATAACAAATAGATATCTTGCACTTCCATGTCTCTGATTATAATGTTTTCTTTGCCTAGAATACTTTCTCCTTTCCTTGCACACAAGGTGTTAGTAAAGGTCTCTTCTCTCTTGTGAAGCATTCCACCCAGGTACACACTATTAATCATTCCTCCTTTCTCAACATGCCCATAGCACTTAGCAGACTGTTCCACAATTACTTATTTACCTCTCCCAGACCACACTGTAGTTCATGATGACCAAAATTGTAACTTATCATCTGTGAATCCCCATGCCCAGTAGAATCTGGCACAGAGTAGATATCAATAAGTATTTTGTTGAAGGAGTAAAAGAAGTAGGGGCCCACTAAAACAATTGATGTAAAAGTGCATAGTTTAGGCAAAAGTGCTATAGGATCATGAAGAAAGAAGGTTGTTACTCATTTTTAGAGTCAGCAAATCCTAAACAGAGAAGGAAGGAAGGTGTGGGAAATTAGGCTGGCCTTAAAAAGGAGCCTCGAGACAGGAAAGGACAGGACAAAGGGGAAGATTCTCCACAGCACGCACCTCCAGAGTTGACCAAGCAGCAGCCAGCAGGCAGAGGCCAAAGTCAAAGCAACAGAAAGGGAAGGAGGAAAGAGAAGAAAGACAGCTAATACCCCAAGCTCTCTGAATGCCCAGGCATCACAGCGGAGCTGCCAGAAGGGGGCGGGTCAGGGTGGGGATCCGTCTGGAGGAAATAGGAAGTGCTGTGGTGGTAATAAACAGGGTAGACATGGACGGTGGTGGTGGTGGCGGTGGCGGTGGTGGTGGTGGTAGTGGTGGTGGTGGTGGTGGTGGTGGAGGTGGTGGTGGTAGTGGAGGTGGTGGTGGAAGAAGAGCAGGAAGAAGCAGAGGCAGATGGAGGGCTGGTCCCGTGGCCTTCAGAACTGAAAGACTGTCCAGATGAAAGACTGCGCATTCGCCGCAGAGATACCCGGCTTGTCAAGAAGTGGCCAGCCTCGCCCTCTACCAACCTCTGAGATCCCAGGCCATGCTGTGGCTCCATCAGGCGCTGCCGGACACTGCTCTGCAGACTGGGGGCTGCAAGAATGAAGAAAGAATGAGGAAGGGTCAATCCACTTTGGGTGGCAGACAAGCAGGTGCCCATAGACAACTGTCTACTGGAAACCATTCTGAGCCTCTGATACTTAATCTGGTGAATGGAACACCACCTCCCAGAAACCTCCCACCAGGGGTCCTGAAAGGATGGGCAATTGAAGATGAGGTGCCCAGGTCAGTTTTAGTGACAACTCCAAAGGAAGGAGACCTAAGGCCAACGTCTCTATAAAGGGAAGTGGCAAGGCAGTTAGTGGGAGGACACAGGCAGGGCAGGGGGGGATAAGGACTTGGGGCAAGGTCCGGGAGAGCACTAAGAACCAGCCTTTTCAGAAAGCCAAACTCAGGAAATAATTCACAGTTTAGACAAGGAACTATATAAAAACCTGTTCATCAGGTCATTATTAATAATTGTGTGAAAGTAAATATAAAGGTGGAACAATGGTAATATACCCACTTGCTAGAAGACTATAGAGATGAAAAGCGATGCTTATAGAAAGATTTTAAGAACACAGAAAACCTACTGAAGTGCTCAGGGGAAAGATATAAATTATATTAATAATCCTTGAGCATCAGAATATAAAACACAAGTTTGAAAGTAGGCCTTTCACTTCTAGCTATGACCTTAAGCAACTTAAATCTTCATCTTAATTTATAATTAGTAGCCTTCAGGCTGTTCTGAGACTTCAAGATAATATCTTTAAAGTATCTGTCACAGGTCATGACACTCAATAAATGGTAGTAGTTTTCATTATCTTCACTACATTAAGGAGTTTGTCACAGACAAAAGATTGAAATAACAAGTGTTCAACTGTGGTAAGACTAGGGGTGCTTTTTTATGCTACTATTTACTCTTTTTTTACTTCCCAAATTTCCTCTAATAAGCATAGAAACAATAATGATCCAGTTCTTGGATGAGGCTCTTGGAAGACAATAACCACCAGGCCTGGTGAAGGGGTACCTGGGCCCCAGGTAACTCAGGAATGTATCACAGCATCCCCTTGGGCTCTATCTAGGCCCCAGCTGAAAAGAGGCACAGACCTTTGTCTCCTCCCTTCTACCATGATAGATGGACCATCCTCCTTTCCTCCTTAAAGATGCAAGAAAGAACCAGGTTATAAGGGAGGACAGAATCCTTATAAAGGCCACCAAGGAGAGAATACAGTTCCATAGTAATGAAGAGTTGGGAGGCAGGGCTTCTACAGTTGGTGAAGAGGAAGTCTATAATAGTTAGGGAAAGAGGGAGTAAGAAGGTAGAAACACTGAGGAAAGGGGAGAAACATGAAAAGAGAAAAGAAAGGGTTAGCCTTTCCTTTCCTTTCCTTTCCTTTCCTTCCCCTTTCCCTCTCAGCCCAGCTAGAAGGCCACCAGGACATTTGGGTAGCTGGGCTGAAGAGAGAAGCCTCCCATTGCTCTCAGCTGAGCAGGCTGATTCTTCTCACCCCCGAACCTCTCCCTGCAGTTAGTAGGGCCAGTGCTGAGGGTATAGAGGGAGTGTGAGGCAGGCAGGAGAAGGTGCCCATGGGGTAGCAGTGTTGGTTTAGTGCCGAAAGTTGGAAAAACAAAAGCCCCAAGGGGCTCCTCAAACCCGGATATTTCCAGAGGGACTGATCATCCGAGCCGGTGGATGCAGAGCAGAGAGAGCGGTCACTGAACCTACGCCCCATCAGCCAGGCAGCATCTAGGGTCAATAGCCAGGCCAAAAGGAGAAGAGAATCTGATTTATGGAGGGCTTCAGCCTGCCCCTCATTAGGATCTAGGAAGGGCAGAGGAGGGGCGGGCATCTCCACGCTAGTGAAGGTCCCTCCCAACCTGGAGAATACAGAAACTTTTAGATCAGTGAGTCAGGATCCAGCTCTACCTGTCACTGATCCAAACTTTATTAGGCCATGACTAATATATCCTAACAACATATCAGAGCAGGGAGATAAAGAGGCTTGGCCAGGGGTGAAGTATCATTGGAGAATTTATAAAATAAATTTTTTCTGGAGTGGGTGATGAAGGAATCTGGCCCTCTGAAAGTAAGCTACTAAACCAGCCCTAGCTTTCAGCCATCCCTTCTGCTCTGATGGGATATGGGCCTACGATAACACCTGACCATAAGGCCTATTCCATTTACCTAAAATAACCTCTCATCCATAGAAAAATTCAACTGTGGGCCAGTAAAGGGAAAATCCCCTCATTCACTAAAGAATTTCCACTTTGAGCCTAACCTGGGCAACTTGGTGAGAACTTGTCTCAAAACAAAAAATAAAAAATGAGAATTAGCTCAGGGATAGAGTGCCCCTGGATTTGATCCTCAGTATTGAAAAAGAAAAGAAAAAAATCCCACTCAATGTTGTCCTTTCAGCCCTGTTCTACTCTGCTCTCATCACTTGTAGGGGACAGAAGAAAGAGGAAAGACCCAGGATAGAGGATGGGGAGGTCCAAGAGCTCAGGTGGAGAGCCAGACATGCTTGTGCAGGAGCTCCCTCCTAGGCAAGGATGCCTTCCAGCTTGGAGCCTTTAGGGATGGAGCACTGGAAGGGACTGTTGCTACATGGGCCTCATACAAAAGAGAGAGAGAATGAGACATCAGTCCATTCATCCACCTTAGCAATTAAGAATAAAAACCATGAAATGAAAACAAATAAGTGCAATAAATAGTCAGAATGAATGCCATTTTTACATTGTGGATCAAAGTCTCTAAAGGAGATTATTTTTTATAAAGTAGACAGTAAGAGGGAAAGGGGAAAATAAACAAAGAAACAAGGAGTAAAGGGAGACACACTTAACACAGTGGACCTACAAGGACAGACAGAGCTTATAGCAAGGAAGATCCACCAAAAGGACAACTATAAAGAGATATCCTGATGCGATTGTGCTTTATTAACCAACGTCATGAGGTAAACCATTTTCCTGGTTTTCTGTCCCTTGCACTGTTTAAGCCAAGCAGAGGCCACAGACTTCTCAACTTTTGTATCAAAGTCTCCTTCCCTATCCACCCACCAAAAAGGCCACCTACACTGCATGGACAAGGGTGATACAATCTCCTCATCCATGTCATCCACATCGTCTGTCATGATGAAATGGGCAGGGTTGGGGCGCGTGCTGCCCATCCAACTGGGGTCTATGTTGAGAGCAGTCACCAGCGAGTGGATGCCAGGGTTGTTGACAATCTGGAAGCCACAGAGGATCTCAATCTGCTGCCAGCGGTGGAGGCGTTCCCTGAGTGCTGCTGTCACCTCACTTAGTGCTTGCCTGAAGACAGACGAAAGAGAACTGCAGGCATGGACTGTGTAGAAGACCAGTAACAATGAGGCTCCTTCCCCAAGGAAGAAGTTGGGAGATCAAGGTGGGAGTTGGATAAGGTCAGGCAGGAGATCAGAGCTTTTATTCCATTAGTAAGAAAATGGAATTGGGGTTAGAGGACCCATATACCTTCAAATTCTAAAGATGGTATGGACATTGTCAGAATTGATAACTGGTGCTACTTACTTGGCCGTTAGAATTTTATGATCCACATCATCCAGGGAAGAGCTGTGGGCCACATGGAAGGTACCAAAGAGTGTGTTTCTCTTCTTTTTTATTTTCTCAGCCTGCAAAAATGAGGCCCTCAGTTTAAAGAGGGCAGGGATTAGTGGGTGGAAGAAATGAAAAGGGCCTTCCTGTGGCTGGATGCCCCTCTCAAGCTGTACAAGGAAAAGGAAGAAAAATAGGGAAAGGGAAAAGGAATGGAAGGGGAAGAGAAGGAAAGAGAAAACAAGAGAAGCAAAAGGTTCCCCTGTCGTGCTTTAGCCCCAGGAGGACCTCTTTCCCCATGGCAGTGTGGGGCTGGCCGAGCTTCATCTTTCCCAGAAGTCAGGAGGGAGTAGCCCTACACCCTCATTCCCTCCTCCAGAGGTTTGAGGACATTATCAGGAGCTGTACATTAGGAAAAGAAACAGAACCCACCACCAGGACATCTTTTTGCCCAAAGAAAGGGATAGAATGAGGCTGAAAAGAGGAAGACGGGCAGGTAAAAGGGAGGAGGACAGGGAGGAGAAAAGAGGGAAAAAGGAGGGCCACAGGAGGGCAGGTCTCACCCCCTCTTTGGCCACCAGCAGCTGCTTCTCAGCATTTTGCTTCTTGATGTTGTAGTACTGCACCTCCACCTCATGTGTCAGCTGCAGCCACTTCTGCAGGGCCTCTGGAGCATACCACGAGCTGTGTGATTCCAGCTCCTTCTCTGCTTTCCTCAAGGCCTCCCGAACCTATGCAGCCAACAGGATGTGACTCTGTTTACTAATTCTAGGATCTTCTCCAACACTTCTGTGTAATGCTTCAGAATTCAGAGCTCTTAAATGCTTTAAAACTCTTGCAGGAGGGAGAAAGGCAAGGATTGTTCTCTGTATTTCATATACAAGGAAGCAAGCTCAGGGAAGGAGAGAAGCCCACTCAAGGTCAAGTGTCAGCTAGAACTCAAGTGAGAGGTTTATGCTCTAGGGCACTCTTTCTATCACTTTCTATCTCTTTCTATCCCCTGACTGTCCTGGTCATGCAGCCAGAAATCTTCCCTAATCTCTTCAGAAACAGACCAACTAATGAATCATCTTCCTGAGAGTTTGCTTGGACCTCAGAATATTAAAGAAAAGACATTTAGTTGTAAATCTGGTTCTGGTCCCTGAACTTGCTGTATGACTCTGTGCTTCCTATAGCAGATCTTAATTCAGTGTGGACTAGAACATCCTCCAGTGCAAATCCAAACTATCAGTAAAATGATATCAGTACATGGATATCTCAGGAGAGATATCCCTATCATGGAAAGTATGTGAAAAAAAAATCTTGTCAAAGAAGCCTTGAAAACAATGCCTACTCCAGAAAGCCATTGGCCTGAATGTTCTTCAAAGTATTCTCTAGCCCAGATACTGTGTCTATGATTCTCTCAGTGAAGAGAACAGGTAGGCTTTGGAAATTACTGTCTAAAGATGGAAGACAATGAGTATGTCCACACCTAACACAATCATTCCCAACAGAGACTGAGAAAGGAAAAAGGACCAATGCATAGGCAGAAATCTCCTCCTGACTTTCTCTGTGAGGAACACAGAGTAAAGGAGATAGTCGTGAAGCACTCAAGCATGAAAGTGCTGAAAGTACAGACACATTATATACCCTGGATTCCTTGCTATCTCATCCAGGCTACCAGATAAGTGTCCCAAACACCGTCATCTGAACAATGAACTTCAGCTGGTCAAAATCCCAGAGAACAAGGATTGAGAGCACTCTCATTATCCCCAGCTTCAGTCACTGAGGCATGTATCCCATGGTATGCCTGAGGCTCTGCACAGCTTAGGCTAGACCAGGAGGGCCTTAGCTAGAGACATAATACCTTTCTTCCTTTGAAAGCCAGTGAAAGTACCAATCTTCACCTGCTTTATGTTCCTTGAAAAAGAAACTATAAAATGGCCCACTCCTCATTTTATAGATTTAAAATAAAGACCAAATGCCTTAGAGATTAATATACCAAATCTGAAAATTTATGATCAACTTCTACATTAAAAGCAGTTAAAGCAATGAGATAAGCTTAGGAGGGAAGAATGAAAGAAGAGAAAGGGGGTAAATGGAAGTATGATAGTAGAGGACACACACAAAGGCTCACCAGGCTCAAAAACTAATGAGAAAAGAAATTACAAAACAGGGACTAGGGGAGATCAGAGGCAGAGCGAGAGAGAGAGACAGACATGGCTTGCCACACATACGTAACAAATGCCTGAAGGAAAAGAAGGAACTAGATGGGCAGGTCAGAGTTCACTAGTCCCATTCTTTTACTCTATGTGTGTAGTGCTGAAATCTTATCACATACTGGAATCACATGGGAGAATTTTTTTCCCTATATAAAACATTTTTTATTGGTAAAATGAAAATTATCACACATGTGAAAATTTTTAAATACTGATATCTGGACCTCAATTCAGAAATTCTGATTTCATTGATCTGGAATACTGACCTGGGCATCAAAAGTTTTTATTTTTATTTTTAGAAAAAAAAAATTTTTTTTTGGTACTGGGGATCGAACTCAGGTCCTTGTGCTTGCGAGGCAGGCGGCGGAACCACTGAGCTAAATCCCCAGCCCTGTTTTGTTTTATTTTTATTTTTTCACAAAAGCTTTTAAAAGCTCAAGTCACAGCCACATGTGGTGGCACATGCATGTAATCCTAGCATTCGGTAGGCTGAGGCAGGAGGATCACCAGGAGTTCAAGGCCAGCCTGGGCTACATAATGAGACCCTGTCTCAAAACAAAACAAAAACAAAAACAAAAATTCCACAAGTCATTCATTCTATTATGCAGCCAAAGTTCATAACCACTGATACATGTTTATAAATGTATGACTTCTACTTCCCAGTAGGAGGCTACTAGTACGTCATAGTATAGACATAATTCTGATCTAACACAACATGCACAAAAGCTCTGGAAATTATGCAAATTATGAAAATTGAGTTTTCAAATAATTAGAGAGTTGTAGACACAAGTAGGGCTAGGTTTGCAGTTCTCTAAGAGTGATCCAGGGCTTCCTAGGTATCTCCCAAGACTTTCCAGAGCATCTATGAGGTCAAAACTATTTTCGTAATAATACTAAGCCACTACCTTTCTCACCCCTTTTCTCTCACAACTAGACTGTGAAGTTCTCCAAAGGATACATGATATGTGAAATCACAACAGTTTGAATACAAACTCTAATATAAGAATCTAGCTGTCTACTAAGCTATATATATTGTAAAAAGATTTGCAAAGTTATAAAAAATTATTTTTTTCATTAAATTGTTTTTATTTTGAAAAACTTAATAGTTTTTAATAAAATATGCTATTTGTGTTAACAGATAAGGCATTTAATATAGTTCTTTTAAATTAAATTAACAAGGGCTGGGGATTTAGCTCAGTGGTTTCACCGCCTGCTGTGCAAGTGCAAGGACCCGAGTTCGATCCCTGGTACCAAAAAAAAAAAATTAAATTAATAAATATTTTTGCCATTCCCCATCCTTCGTGGAATAAATAATTTTTTTAAAAAACAGGGTCTAGAAAAATAAATATTTTAAATTTTCTCAGTTCTACTTCCTAATGATAAATATCAACAGCAATGCCTCTATTAAAAATGCTAAAAGTAAAAGGGTCCTAAGATCAAAACATTTGAGAACCACTAGACTAGATGAATAAAAACCAAGAGAAGGGGCCGGGAATTTAGTTCAGTGGTTTCACCGCCTGCTGCGCAAGCACAAGGACCAGAGTTTGATCCCCGGTACCAAAAAAAAAAAAAACCAAGAGAAGGAAAAGTCTTTCTAAGTTGAACTGATAATTGTCAGTCATCATTTCCTGGAGGAATCTTATGATTCTATGAGGAGTCTAGAATTGGACTTGGCCCATGCCCAAGAGACATACATATGCAGTAAGGTTCATAACAGTGTTATTCATAAAAGCCAAAAAATCATAAACAATCCAAAAGTCCACCAAAATCAGAATTAACAAATAAATTATAGTGTACTTACACAATGAATTATTACTCAGGATCAGAAATAAACCAGCTATCACTACATACATGAATGACTCTCACAGACATAATATTGAGGGAAAGAAACCAAACAAAAAAGATTATATATGTATAATTTTTTTTTTTTTGAGACAGGGTCTTTCTGTGTAGTTCAGTCTGGCTTTGAACTCACTGTGCAGCTCAGGCTGACCTCCAACTCATGGCAATCCTCTGGCCTCAGCCTCCCAAGTGCTGTGATTACAGATGAATGCCACCATTCCTAGCTAATGTCATTTTTGTGAAGTTCAAAATGAGAAAAAAACTAATCTGGTTTAGAGGTTGTGGCTGTCATTACATTTAGATGAAATATTGACTATAGGGGCAAAAGTGAGCTTTGTAGGATATGAAGAGTTTCTTTATCTTGATCTGGGTGGTGTTTACACAGGTACATGCAGATGCAAAAGTTTACCAGTTACATACTTATGATTTGTACACTTTATGTAAATACCTCTATAAAAAGAAAAAGCAATATAACTCCTACCTCTTGTTTTTTGGGGGATTTTTTTTGGTACTGGGGATCGAACTCAGGACCTTGCACTTGCAAGGCAGGCGACGGAACCACTGAGCTAAATCCCCGGCCCTAGCCCTTGTTGTTTAAAATCATGGCAACCATCTTTTGCAGCTTCCCCACTACTTTTATTGGGAAAAACCCAGTGACTCTAGAAGATAGACTTGGAGCCATATTTCTAAGTCCTCACACATGAAACTTTCCAGCCAGACCCTCAGCCCCTACCCTTTACCCACCACTTGGTGAGTCCAGGAATTTGTAGATTCTCCTACCTGCTCCAATTCTTCCTCAGCATATTTTTGGCGACTCCGCTCATTCTCAGTACCCTCCCGCAGTTCCTTCAATCGCTGAGCTTCCTGCTTAGCAACGTTGATCTCATCGCGCAGCTTCTTCTCCAAATGGACCTTCTCCACTTCCACTGTGCGGTGCTCCTCCTGGGCTTTGTGCAGCCTGGAGGTGGGGGGGGGGGTCGTAGGGAGCTGGAGAAGCCCAGGCAAGGATGTGGCAGCCAGTAGGCCATGAATCATGGCAGCGAGAAGGAAAACGAGACACCCTCTCTCAACATATACAGTATTCTCCCTACTCTGCTGACTGTCTAGCTCTGAGCTAGCTCAGGGCAAACAGAAACCACAGTCATTACTATAATTCTCATATTGGCCATCATTTTACTGCTAGTAATCAAGGTTGTAAAGCCAGTTTCCCAGGCATCTGAATCCCTCCTCTAAAATATACACATACTAAAATCCTAACAACTACCAGTTTATAAGAGATTTCACATTAGTCTTCCTGGCAGATAATGATATACAGTTAACATTATCAGCCCGGGACAGATGTGAATACAAAGACTTGAAAGAGGGACAATAACTTGCAGGAGGAACTGAGGATGGAATTAAAATCTTTGTAACTTCAAATTCCATAATTATTCCTCTTATATTTTGATATCTAGAAGGTTCCATAAATGTAGACTATCTTGCAAATAATGCAAAATCCAGGGAAAATGTACTGGATAAGACATGACTGAGGTGGTAACAGGAGGAAGGCTTAAGGAAGATGAGTAAGAAATTATTGAGCTATATCTCCTAGATTCCTGAATTCTTTTTTTTTTTTCTTTTTCTTTTTTTTTTTTGGTATTGGAGATCTCTTGCACTTGCGAGGCAGGCAGCAGGACCACTGAGCTAAATCCCCGGCAAATTCCTAAGTGTCAGTTCCCAGAGGAACAGAAAAATTAAATTCATGCCAAAGGCAGTGGGAGGGTGCTGAGAAAGCCCCTGCTCTCCTAAGATCTGAGTTCCTTTCCTAAGGATCTTACACAATGAGTAAGATCTCAAGGGTATCAGCTATAATAATCTACTCTTGCACCCACCCACACATCCTTCTGTTCACTGCCAAAAACCTTCCATCTAACCTTCTTCCTTCCTCTCTTCTTTTGTCCACATGACTATGTTAATTCATCTATCCATCTACCAGTCCATTCACTCACCAAATTCTATCCAGTTCCTACTAAATAGCAAGCCCTTGATAAACCTAAATATATGTAGATAAATCAGAAAACTTTCTTCAACTGAGCTCATGACCTAGTCTAACAAAGACAAGTAGATTGATAACTGTCTACAGTATGGTAAGTTCTGCAATAAAGAGATATTCCTGGTGTTGTGTGAGCCCAAAGGGTGGAGTAATTAACTCTACCTGAAAGGAGTCAGAGAAGGGAAGACCTGTTCTAGACCCATAAAAAAGAGTAAGAATTTATTAATCCCTTTGAAAAAGGAAAGGATTTGGCTACTGTCTGGTCTTACTACCTTAGTAGGAGCTACCAGGTTACTAAAGGACTAGGATAAAAGGGTAAAAGGATGACAAGGAAGAGAAGAGATATGAGTTAGAATTGAGGTATAGAAAAGTAAAGATATACTATATAACAAGAAGGACCCACAGAGAAAAGCCCTGACCATTGAGTTAATTAAGAATATGAATCAGAAGAGGCAAATCAACCTTTTAAAAATCACCAAGTCCACAGGTGTCAGTGGCTGAGGCCTCAAAACATGTAGTGGAATAAGAAAGCAGGGAAGAGGAAGAAATGTTGGCTACAAGCTTCCTGCTGACAACTGTACTCTTACCTACTTTGGCCCTGGAGTAAAGAGAGTTGAACCTCCTCAGATGTACACCAGATGGCACTATGTGCAAGCTAAAAAAAAAAAAAAAACCCCAGGTGGCACCTTTCCCCACCCCCAAATCTTTCCTGTTGAGTATCCTCCTTTATTGTACTCTTCCTCCTTTAATGTACTCTTCTGTGACCCAGTGACAAGAAATTACACCAAGATGGACTTGGTTCTTCACTGAAATATTGTCCTCTCTGAAAGCAGCCTCTTCAGAAAAGCCAATACTATATGATATGTCCTCTTTCCAACAGGACTCTTAAAGTAGAACTGAGCCTGACCCACTTTCATACTCCCAATAGGGTCTAGAGGAGAGAGATCAATAAATACCATTGGGTACAGAAATGATACAAATACGTGTACAATCAGACTCTGCCTCACTCCAAGGCAACAATCAATCAGCATTATGAAGCAGAAAATTAAGCAGCCTGATTACCTGGTTCTAAAGTCCTGGATCTAATAAGTTATATATCTGTGGACAAGTTTTCCTATTTCTTTGTAGCGAAATGGGAATCAAAATTCTTGCCTGCCTCAAAGAATTATTTTGAAACCCAGTAAAATCCTAACTGGAACGTACACATAGCATTACATTTACTCACAAAATATCCGGAACTCTGAAAAAAAAAAGAAAAAATAAAAAGAACTCTGCAAAATAAAGCTCTGTGGTGTCTGGCAGTACAGGTCTATTAAAGTAAGGAGTGACAAGGTCACACGTGGGCTTGGGGCGCTGTCAGAGGAAGGTATGTGTGCGCATGTGTGCAAGTGGGGATGGGGTGGGAGTGGGGGTGCCACAGTAGTCATTAAGATCAGGAGGCCTCAGGGAGCAGCCAGGGCTAGGAGTTTAGTTTTAGCGCCAAACTTGGAATGCCTCCTGCCTAGATTCTTTTGTCTTTGGAATGAAAACAGTACATATTTTTCAGACAAATGAAGTATGAGGATTGCTCAGAGTGCAACATTTATCCCTAGTTAGCAGAGAGGTCCTAGGCACAAGGGCCCCAGCAGAGTAACCAGGAATCAGCTTAGAGATCAGACCTTCTTGCCTCCCTAGAAACCCATGGAAACAAATCTGGTATCAAAATTCCCAGCCTACTACTACTGATATGTGACCCTCATCAAAGTATTTACTCTTTCTGAACCTTTATTTCCTCAACTCTAAAATAAGGATAATAAGGATAATAATACCTAACTTCAAAGGTCATAGTGACTAAAAAGCAACAGTGCATTTCATCACTTTAAAAATGTCTGGCTCATAAGAAATCCTTTCCCCATCCCTCCAAAGAAAATACTATCTGTCATTTAAAAATAACAGAAAGGATCGGATTTTATTTCCTTTCACAAAGATTTCTGCAAAGACTTCCCAACTGGAGTCTCTAGGCTACAAGAGTCATTTTCTAAGACAGTCCTGAAGTGGGCCTCTTTTTCTCTAAGACAAAACACCAAAAACCTGTATTGACTCTCTATTGCATCCTACAAAACCTCTTCATGTTCTTCATGTGTTCTCAAGGTCCCAGGGATCTGGCCCCACCTTAAACACAACCTGTACTCTAAGGACCTCCCTATCCATCTTTCAAGTCCACTTCCTTAGTCTCACATCCACTGAGCTCCTGAATCTGTCTTTCCAGTCCTTAGGGTTCTTTTCCTGTGAGCTGGCAATGAGTCTGCTTAAAGGGCACCCTCATTACTCCTTCTCATGTGTGGGCTTAGCTTTCGAAATGCCAGTGAATTCCTTACAATTTCCAGAACAGACTTGGTTTCTGGGTGTCAGTAAGTATAAGAATTGACTGAATGACTGGCTTTCTCTTTTTTCAGCTCAATCTTCTGACACAGTTTTTAACTCATGTTTTGTTCAACATAATCCCAGACTATTAGAGCTAGCAGTGTTCTCCTAGAAGATACTACAGTTCTCCTAGTTCAAGCCTTTTTTTTTTCTTTTTCTTTTTCAAGCCTTTCTTACTGATGAAGAAATATGCCAGAAGGGAAAGGATTTACCCAAAGATATACAGGTCATATTTATGAGATTTAGACTGTCCATAAAAAAGAACTAAGGGCAGAAGGAAAAGACGTCTGTGAGGTTTCCTTGGGGAGCAGTGAAGAACAGTTCATTTTATCTTCTTACATGGGATGAGAAGGGAAGCAACCCAAAGGCAGGAAGAAAGGTAGTATGACCTCTAAAAGACCATCCAACCAGAGAACTCAAAACCACTGACAGGTACACATTTCTCCCTCTGAATAAAGGGAGAATCAAGCTTTTCCCCAGGAGGAGTAATTGCCCAGGGAACTGGAAAGGCAGGAAGCTAGACTCCCAGTGCAGTTCTGGAAGGACAGCTCAGCCTGGATAGGCATGTCAGTATGGTCTCAGAGGCCAGGTATCACACACTCAGTTGGAAACAGGAAGCTCCCAAGATCTGGAAGCACCGGGGCTGTGGGAAAGGAGCAAGGCCTTACCTTTCCTGAAGGTCATGTAGACTCTGCTCAGCTCGGTGTAACCCTTCCAAATCCTTCATCATCTTCTTCATGTGCTCTTTGGAGTAACGGTTCTGGATATAGGCAAACCAGCAGCCACCCACACCAATAACAATAGACACCACCAGCATGAAGTCCTTGAGGTGATTGTGGCGGGTCACTGCCAGAGAGGGGAGGACACGGTGAGTCAGAGCATCAACAGTACACTTGGCCTTGCAAATTCCCTGCACCCCCTTCTCCCTGACACCTCCATTTTTCCATTACTCATCATTTTTCCTTTCCCTCTTTCCTTTCCCCTGCCCCTTCCACTACCTCTACCCCTTTGCTCCTTTTCTTCCTATTTCACATTATCTATTATACATTTTAGTACTTATTTACACTTTCACTTTCTCACACTAGAGAAACCATTTGGTATTTACATGTGTGTCCTATTTATTTCACTTAAGAGTATTGCCTCAATGTGCATCCA